AAATGCCTCAGAGAAATTTCAGATGAGGGGAAGTTTTTTTTTTTTCCTGTAGAAGTTACCAAAATTACTGGTAGGATTTAATTCTTTGCTAGCAAAGGTGTCTCCAAGAGGAGTTAAAAAAATAAAACTGACAGCTGATCTAGGGTAAGTACAAGTTACAGTCAGAATCAACAAGCCTGTCACTTTTTGCTGGTAGGTAAATTTTTGAATAAGACTTCCTTGATCTTATATTGACTGCATGCTTCCAGTAAGTTGGCTACAATAAATCTTTGAATAAATGCTTTCCATTTAAACGTTATTTGTGGTTGACTTGTTCTACACAGACTCAGTTACAGACTCAGTAAAGCTGAAAATGTGATCATTTRTTTTGGGAGAGGGGAGACTACAAATGTTTGGTGTTTTTTGGAATAATTTCTAGCAGTTATTGCAAGTTTTTTATAACTTTAAAAAAAATGAATATTCTCAAGGAGTGAAGATTCACTTGGCGTCAAAATGTCCAGATTTGAAATGAGAACATGTCACACATTTAAAATATAACTTGCACTAACTGCAGTTATTATAAGGGTAGGTACGTAGTCATAAAGTATCACGTTTTTGTTTAATTTCAAGAAGAATTATAATTACAGGTAGGTAATATTATTTTGAGGTTTCATTTTCATATATTTCCCCTACATCCTTTTCACGATTTGATTGATTTATTCATTTTCTGTTCACTCATGTTAATAAGCCAAGGTTCATATGATTCTTCAATATTTTGCTTTTTAAGTTACTACATTTTTTGTTTARTTTTATTTTAGTTTGGTTGCCTTTTATTTATTTTCATTTTTTCTTTTGTTCATTTTCTTTTCAATCACTCCTGTCCTTTCACTCAAATCCTCCTTTAACCCACTACTGAAATTAGAGCCATCAGCTCCTCCTCAAGACATTAGTTGCACAAGCCCCAGCTCCACTAGCATTTTGGTAAGTTGGAAACCTCCACCAGTGGAAAAGCAGAACGGCATTATCACTGAATACTCCATCAAGTACATTGGGATTGATGGAGAAGATGTCAAGCCCCATGAAATTTTGGGAATTTCCTCGGACAGTACCCAATACCTTTTGGAGCAGCTGGAAAAATGGACTGAGTACCGGATATCTGTGACTGCCCACACTGATGTTGGACCTGGCCCAGAGAGCTTAGCAGTATTGATTCGGACAGATGAAGATGGTATGTTGCCTCCACTCCATCAGTTGCACCTCTATCGATCTGCTGTCTTTTGTATAGGCTAACAGTACTTTTTTCTGCTCCTCTTTTTTTCCTACTACTACCACCATTGGAATGTTTTAATCAAAGGCTTGTCCTTTGTACATCATTCTTGCATTTGATACTTTTACTTTTTAAGAGAAAATATGTTTTTGTGAATGAAGTGAATATGCTGTCCTTTGAGCCCATAAGCGTCCTTCTTTCTTCTACTGCTACCTAAAACTAATTCTCAGGGGAAAATCTTTCTGCATTATTCTTGATTTAACAGTTATTTTTTTGAAAAACACATGTCTATGATCTTTCCTTCAGATATTTTTGTAACTTCTTTCTTGTTCTGTGAGTTTTTTTTTCTTTTTTTGTTTTATTTTGTTTTGACTTTGTTTTGACTCGTTTTTAATCTTGGAAAACTGATGCTCCATACATTTTCTTTTCTTCCATGCATGAAAGTGACAGAAGACCTTCCTAGTATCATCCTTCTTTTTTATACTA